TGCTGCTGCCAGGAGGGGTTGGGATCTTGCACCGCCCTTTCCTACAATAGCCGTGGTGCCCAGCCTGGGCTTGCGGCGTTCGGTCCTGCGTGCCCACACAGCCGAGCCGGCATTTTTTTTGGGAGATCCCTGCGGCCAGGGGCTTCTCCTGTGGGCTGGGGTCTGCTGCCCTCACACCCCAGGGGAGTCTGGTCCTGCCCGCGCTCCCCAGAGCCCAGCACACGCAGGCTGCTCGCAGGAGAGGCCAGCTTAGCCAGCTCCTTCGCTGGAGCTACAGACCCTTCGCAAGGACCCACTTTGCCTCGGCTTTAGATTGCCCCCAGTCCCTCTTCCCCAGCTTTTTAGCGCTGCTTGTGCTTTCCCAGTTTGGAGTCGTTGCTGGTTTTTCACAGCAGGGAGACCTCGGCTCTCTTCAGAAAGCCGGGGGCACGCTCGAGGCGCTCTCCAGAGCCTCTTGCCACGGCGCTGGTGTTCTCAGCGTGGTTTCACTCATGGTTGGTGCCGTTGCTGTGATGAAAGGACTGCGGGAGGCCCCAGCGATGGCAGAGGCTGTGCTTTGCTAACCGCGGCGTGCAACAAGAGGCTGCTTCGTCCCGGAGGCCTCGCAGGTCGATGGGGCTCGTGTCGAGCCGTATGTAGGTGGACCCGGGCTGGAAGCGTGCTGCTGCATCCCCGGCGAGAGGGACTCGGGAGCCGGGTTCTCGGCTCGGTGTGCAGATTCCCACTGTGTGCCTGGTTTTGGCAGAGGGCTGCCTGGGGTGGTGGATCCAGTTTGCAGCGTTCCCCCTGCACCAGTGGATGGGTGGGGATGTAACTGGGGACGGGGGTTAGAGCCTCCTCCGAGGAAAGGACCGGCTGCCGTGCCAAGAGCACCACGTAGAAGCAGACGTTGCGAAATATAACACGTCCATCTTGTAGCTTCGTCACATGAAGCGCTGGCCTTGAGCAGACCACATTTTTCAATCTGTTTTCGAGCCGTTGCTGCTTTGTACCATGTGAAGTCAATTCAAGGCAGGCTCCTTTCCAGCTGAATCCGACACCAGGAAATGTTCTTTTTCTCCCCCTTTGCTTCCCGCCGTCGTGGCCCCGCGGCAGGGGGCGGTCCCTGGGCC